ATGATTTCAATTTATTTTATCTTAATTGTTGCAGTAAACTTGAAAGCGATAACAATTTCGAATAGAGAATGAAGAGACCTTTGAAACCTATACTTTCCATTTGAGAAATTGGGGGTTGTACTTGTCATTCAAAGGGGGTTGAAGGTATTGGTGGCATTTTCACGTTGAAGAATGTCAAATTATACAGGGTTATTCAAATTCGTTTCTGAACATGGGGATCTCGTAAACGATAAGAGATAGAGTGTCGGTTAAATTATGGTAAAGTTGCTTATTTTAGAGACCTATTCAATGATGTAAAGAAATCGAATATAGTTCTTTTGCTTCTGGAGATCTACAGGAAAAACAAAAAATTCCCAAATTATCTTTTTGCCTATATCTTCTTTATTCGCAGACATATTGAAAATCAGTTCACATTTTGCTATTGGCACTTGATGTGGGCTCTCAGAATATATCCATGAATCTTTTATACAGGGTGTCATCTGACTTGGGCCACCCCCCATCTTTGAATTTTTAAATACGGACCTGTATTTTTTGTAGTTTTTGAATCGTAGACGTTCACTTCTTACTGAGAAATTGAATTCAATTTTTCATTTCGGGATTTTTCGGTAATATTCGATTATATGAAATGAACGTGTTATATTTTTAGGAGTGAATAATTTTTTTGATAACATTTTAGGTAAGCTCATACATGGTATTTTCAAAAATATATTAAATACTCTTGAATATTCGATTTTTTCTCTTTCCTTTCGATTATTCAAACTTCTTGATGATTTGAAGTCTTGATAATTCGAATTTTTCTTGTAATCCCTTGGATTCCGAATGAAGTGTGTGTATTTTCTATAATGTTATCCAATTTGGTACTGAAGTGCCTTAGGGCAAGTGTCTTAAGGCGAAACATCGGTGTATACCAGTGAGGATGACTGTGTTCTATGTAAGTGCAATTTGTTACTATTCATTTAAAGTAGAACTCACGTGGATGATATCTGATTTTTATTCCACAACGAATGTTTGAAATACAAATTGAGTAAAGAAAAGTATCTTCTATATAATGCAGTGTTCATATAGAAGTATTTGTTTATATGAAAGTAGCTGTTTCAGGAGGACTTTCTTTCAGTTTGTGTCTGAAAGTTACTTTTTTGCATGATCTACACATTCATGTATAGAGTTTCAAATTGATTACTTCCTTCCTTTCTTTGGAAGATTCTCTCATCCCCTTTTTTTATCAGATGGAGTTGTAGAAAGCCAAAAACTTTCTTTCCCAAAAAAATTATTCACTCCTAGAAATATAACCCGTTCAATTCAAATAAGATTTCTCTTGGCTGAGATTAAATCAAATAGGTGAATGAATGTCATTACGATGTCATCGATGACATAAGCAGATCAAGCTTATTCCGTGACATTTAAAATCGTAATTCATGAATGAAGTGTATGTATTTTCTATAATGTTATCCAATTTGGTACTGAAGAGCCTTAGGGCAAGTGTCTTAAGGCGAAACATCGGTATATACCAGTATGGCAGTGTTCTATGTAAGTGCAATTTGTTACCATTCATTTAAAGTAGAACTCTGAATGATATCTCATTTTTATTCCATAACGAATGTTTGAAATACAAACTGAGTAGAGAAAAGTATCTTCTGTATAATTCAGTGTTCATATAGAAGTATTTGTTTCGAAAGAATTNTCAGAGACAAAATTACTGAACAGAAATAGATTAGATCTAATTGATTTATTAGCCATAAAACCATGCTGCTCTGGAACAATATATTTATTGGCATATTGATTTAACTTTGTATGAATAATTTGTTCAAATAATTTTGCTGGGGAACATAGTATTGAAATAGGCCTGTAGTTCTCTATATCCTTTTTATCGTTCGATTTATGTATGGGAGTAACTATAGATGTTTTCCAAATAGATGGAAAAGTTTTGCTAGTTATTATTAGGTTGAAAATATGAAGCAATGGTGTTCTGAGCCATTCATGACAGCCTTTAAGTATATATGGCGGTATACCATCCACTCCAGCTGACTTTTTTGGTTTAATTTTTTTTGCCGCATTATCGAAATCAGATTCATCTAAACGATTTATTACAAATGTATCATTACAATAAACATCAGAATCTTCAGAGTTTACAGTATATGAGGCTTGTTGTTGGCAAAACGTGGAAGAGAAAAATGTTGCAAAGTATTCTGTAGTTTCATTAGCTAATACTTCATTTCCCTGGTAGTAGAAAGAATTTAAATTCGGAGAATTATTTTGTTTATTATTAACATAATTCCAGAAGGAGTTAATATCAGTATCTATATTATCCTCCAATCTCTTGAAGTACTTTTGTTCCTCTTTTTTTATTGAATTTTTCAACTCTTTCCTAATATTTTTATACTTTTCATTGAATTGATTGGACAAAAATCTCAATTTGAAACATCGATTTTTTTCCTTTAGTAATAATTTGATTTCTTTTGAAAACCAGGAAGGGTATTTGCTCATTTTACTAGTATTAGTACAGTACGTTGGAACACATTTCGCAACAATTGCCCCCCATGTACTGTAAAATTTGTGTAAAGCTGTTTCTACATTATTATCATTCAAAACCTCGTACCAATCTGTATTTCTGACATTCGTACTTAAAGCAAAGAAATCTGCATTTTTGTAATTATATTTCACCTCGTTACACTTTTGTGTAGATTGCTTAATATTAAAACTTTTTGAAACATTGATATTTATATTCAAGGAAGGGTGATAGTTATCCTCATGTATAGAGTTTCAAATTGATTACTTCCTTCCTTTCTTTGGAAGATTCTCTCATCCCTTTTTTTTATCAGATGGAGTTGTAGAAAGCCAAAAACTTTCTTTCCCATTCGATTATAATTGTGTGAATTATTCCTTTTTAAATTACGGCCCTGGAAATCGGTTGACTGAGTTGAATAAAAACACAATAGAAACTTTCACGTCTCCCTATTCACCGTAGAGTTTTTCGAGAGTTTTTTTTTCATTTTAGGTACCTATTCATATTTTTTCCATTGCTCTGAGCATTTTCTACAATGAACTTCGAATAAGAAAACCTAATAAGAAATCGACATAGCATAAATAGCGTTAGCTTCGCGATAGTTTCTACTTTAATCTTCCCCTTGAAGATGATCACTTGGTGATCGAAACACGTGTCGAAGTGTTAAAAATAGCGATATGGTGTTGGGAAAAAACTCCAGTAATATTCAGTCGTATATTGTTTAGGAAAATGGCCATTGATATTTTCCGATCCCGGAGAGGGAGTCTGAAAATCAGCTACTAAGCCCAAGGCAGCAGACGCGCAAATGTGGGTTATAAATAAGGCGGCAGGCGCGAGAGTTGATAAAAAAAATACTTTTTTCAAATGAAGAAATACATGTAAAGTGAGTTCGAATTATATACAGCGTCATCTGCCGCGAAAAGATCAATCAATAATGTCGATAATTCTATCAAATACAGATCCCGATCTTCAGAGTTACAAGCAAACAAACACACAAACATACATACATACATACAGGTGAATCTAATAAAAGCGTGTTAAAAAAATATAGTCCAAACTGTGTACTGCAAAGAGGTAACCGACTCCGACGAAAGCAAAAACAATATTTTTGCCTGGGAAAGAGATGACGACTGTTTTTTAGGAAGGTCATGGAGTTATTTCAATAGATTATTTTCAAAAAAAATGTTACAGGAGCATATTATGAATTATTACTTGAAAAGCTGAAGGCAGAACTTGCAGAAAAATGGCCATATTTGCAGAAAAGGATGGTCCTGTTTCAACAAGACAACGCACCGTCTCCCTCCTCAGCGGTTGCCATGGCAAAAATCCATGATTTACTGTTTGAACTGCTTGACCATCCGCCTCACTCACCAGATCTAGTCCCAAGCGACTGTTTCTGTTTCCTCATCTTAATATTGCGCTCGAAGAACAGAGATTTTCGTCAAATGAAGAGGCAATCACCTTCGTGAACAATTATTTTGGAGAGAAAAACGCTGAGTGTATGTTGAAAAAAAAAACTGAGGAAATGTCTTGTTTTCTCGTACATACGTGTAGTGGTCTTTTCAGACCACTACACGTATGTACACGTATGTGCTGGTAGAATGTCGAATTCAACATACACATCTGCTAACAATACTTTGCCAGTTTGTTTTTGATAAAAAGGGACTAATGATTATGGCGCGGTGTTCATGATAATGGTAAAGTGAAAAATAGCATCTTCTGAGTTGAATAGTTTTCGAAATATGTATAAGAAACAAACTACGAAAGCGTTGAAGGGCCACACAAAATATTTTTTTCGATTTGTATAATTCTGACTTTCATCTCAGAATTCTGACTTGTAAGTCAGAATTCTGACTTGTATCTCAGAATTCTGACTTGCAAGTCAAAATTCTGACTTGTATCTCAGAATTCTGACTTGCAAGTCAGAATTCTGACTTGTATTTCAGAATTCTGACTTGTATCTCAGAATTCTGACTTGTAAGTGACTTGTGTGTGCCAGTCTTCACTTACCTACACAGTAGTTTAATGGAGTGAGATCGTCAGAACACAACTACTCCCCTGGCTAATACTACGAAAGGCGTGGGATTGTATCCGATAGGTGTCAGTGCAGGATTCTTCGCAGAAGAAATGCCTGCATATGTTTTTGGCGATACCGCAATTGTATCTCCAGTTATATCGAAAGAAGCGATTCAAACAATGAGAAAAATTTCATAATCTTCATATTTTGATAAATGCAAAAAACTGCCTTATAATACTGAATGTATCATTATTATTCCCTGAGATACAAGTCAGAATTCTGACTTGCAAGTCAGAATTCTGAGATGGAAGTCAGAATTATACAAATCGAAAAAAATATTTTTGTGTGGCCCTTCGACGCTTTCGTAACAAACCGATGCAATATAAAAGCAGAAAACATTTTGGAACCACTGGAAAGGATGTATTAACACATAAACACTAATATCCGGGCCCTCCTAATGTCCATTGTAAAGACCACTTTGCAAACTTCTCAGTGGCTATGTTCTCATCGGGGCTTATTGTGTCTGTTCGTTCAAAAAAGTAATAAGTGACCAGAAGAACTTGAAGACATGACGAAAGCACCAAAAAAGCTTCCTGGGAGGGCTCTCAGCATACAAGATGACTTGCTCACCGTTCAAGCCCAATATTTCCGCAAATTGGATGAGAAGAAGTTGAGCAATAGTGAACGATTTCTCAAATTCATATGGGACCCGAAGACGAAAACATGTTTTGGGAGGACCGCAACAAGTTGGTGTGAGTGTGAACCATTTAATATCAGTAACTAAGAATATCAATAATATTTTTCGTAACAATTATAACAATTAACGTTACCAGTTTAGACATGTTTAGCTGTCGATAAAGAACAGTTGGTCCTGAAACATAATTTTATACAGTGCATTTCTTTAATGCCCCCCCCAATTTCATTTTTTGAACGGGTCAACTCGAAAAATTGAAATTTGGGATGATGAAATTAATGCACGAATACCTACTTTATTTTGAAGTGAAACTGACAGATGAAACTTTCATGATGGCGACTGCGCTCCATCTGAGAAAAAAAAATTAAATGTAAAGTGGGGTCTTGTGACAAATAATTTTGAGGCCCCTGACAAGTACTTCACAGCTTCATAATATGAACTCAATATCTTTAACCAATAAAAAATGGCGAAACTTTCAATAATTGCCTACATAATATGAGGTAATGAGCTTGAGGTCAGTTCAGAAGATGCTCGAAATGATTGCCTTGAACTTTTTGACATATGAACAGCCTATCCGATATTTCACGCCGAACATTTTCGAACACAGTAACGTCAATATCTCAATACAAATGTTAATTATTCTCTGCCGTATATCCAATATTGAAGCAGGTTTAGTTTTGTACATCTTTTGCTTCAAGTAGCCCCATAAAAAAAGTCCAAAGGTGTCAAATCTGGCGAATGGGCTGGCCATACTGTAGGACATCGACGACCAATCGAACGACCGGGAAAAGTAGTATCCAAATAGTTTCTTACTTGTCTGGAGTAATGTGGTGGTGCTCCATCTTGTTGGAATACAATATCCATATCGAATTCATTAGGATTCGCTTCGACGATTTCAGTGAGAGGGTCAACAGTAGTTTCCAGCATATTCAAATACAGTTCCCCTGTTAGATTTTGATAAATAAATAGAGGTCCTGTGAACATTGTTGTTTAAAAAAATGTACATTCGTCACTAAAGCAAATATTGTGGAGGTAGGTAGGATGCCTTGCAATGGTTTCCGTCATGATTTCGTAGAATTCTGTTCTTCGATCAGGGTCATCTTCAGTTAATTGGTGCACCATTTTAATTTTGTATAGATAATACCTATTCCTCTTCAAAAGTTTCCACACAGTAGATGGAGACACCTCACAAACATTTGCGACGGAATAAGTAGACTGTTCAGGATTTACTACCATCTCACCAATGATTTGCACGTGCTGTTCTTCCGGAATGGACGGATGACCTGAGGGCTTTTTGTTATGTACTTTACCGGTAGTTGTGGATTTGGATACAAGTTTCCTCGAATATTTTCTTTAGATAGGACGATTCGGAAAACGTTCATTGAAAATCCTTTCGGTCTCGTGAAAGTTACGCGTCGCACCGTGAATAAAAATCGCTTCAATTTTTTCTTCCAATGTACGAGAGTTGACCATTTTAGACATTGTTGACGTGGTACCTTTCTACTGGTAAAACCGAAAACTAAATGAGAATATTCATTGTCGTACTGATATTTTTTGTCGTTTTTATGAACAAAAAATAATCTGTATCTGTAGAGTAGGGAGGGTGAGTGTAAACCCACGCACTTAGGCCACATGTGACCTATTGTACATCCTCCCAAGGAGTTGTCCTTCTAGGTCATCGTCCATCCTGTCCTTTCCAGGAAGGTGGACAGGTCGCTGGGAGACATCTCCTTTATATCGGCAGGTGTAGGCCAAGACGATAACTCCGGGCACTCGCACAGGACATGCCTGACAGTCTCATCTTCCTGTTCACACATCCTGCATAGAGGTGTGTCCACTAGCCCCATATTATGTAGGTGTTTCCTTAGCTGACAGTGGCCAGTCAGAAATTCTACTGTAAGGCGTATATTTTTCCTGGTCATCGCCAGATATTTCTTCGGCGCCAGCTTCCCACGGTCGCCCAAGGTGATCCTGGCAAGATTACATCCTTTGATTCCATCCCATCTCTTTAAGGATTGAGCATGGGTGTAACATTTGACTAGTTCCGCAATTGTCGAAGTCATCAGGCAGTGGGTGCCACTGGGTCCTAAAATTTTTAATCCAGCCGCTTCCTTGGCTAACGAGTCGGCAATGCGATTACCTTTACTCCTGTCGTGCCCTTTAACCTACCTCAGGATTTGGCTAAATCTTGGTGGCACTCTAATATTAGCGCTGAGGTAACACACTGTCTGTTCAAGGCTAATAGTGCTTGTCTGCTATCAGTGCAGATTGTTATGTTTTTGCCAGAAATTCTTTTCTTGGTTATTTCTTTTGTGGCGATTGAGATACCAGCCAGTTCTGTTTGGACCACGCTGGTATTTTTCCCCTTCCCCATTAATCCTTAGGCTGAGTGATCTGGAGTACACTCCACATCCTGAGCCTTATTTGGTTTTGGAGCAATTGTATATATGCGTATTGTATTTGTAGCATATGACTCAGTGTTCTGTTTTATTTGTATTTTGTAGGGTTTATTAAACACAAACCTGGGTTCAATTGCAACACTGGTTGCCTGCAGCAGAGGTTGCGAAGTAAGCGCTTCTTACTTCAGTCTCAGTCTCGATTGACCCATTACTACTTCGAGGTTTACACCAGCCGTGCACAATCGTAACATGGCCATTAAGGCAAACTCCTTAACGTACAGGTCCAGAGGGGTCAGACCAGTAATTAATTACATTGCCACGGTTGGTGTCGTTCTCATGGCTCCTGTGATGTTTAAACAAGCCAGTCGCTGTATTTGATATAATTTTTGAATGGCCGTTGCTTGTAGAACTTTCGGTCCCCATACAATGGCTCCATACGTTAACATAGGTCTCATTATTGCAGTGTAGATCCAGGCGACTACACGGGGTGAAAAACCCCATGCGCGTCCCACTGTCCTCCGACATTGCTCATAAGCCACGTATGCTCTTTTTGCTCTACTCTGTAGATGAGAGTTCCATGTTAGCTTTTTGTCGAGGATAATACCAAGGTATTTCACCTCTTCAGAGAAGTTCAATTTGCTTTTGAAGATTTAGGGAGGTTTTAAACCGGTTAAACTTCTTTTCCTGGTGAAAAAGACCATCTCAGTCTTCTTGGGATTGATCGACAGTGAGTGTTCCTTACACTATGTTTCTATCAATTTGAGCCCATCCTGCGCTCTATCGTACAGTGTGTTTACAAATTTGCCGGTCTGCAAGATAACTATGTCATCTGCGTATGCAATTGTGTAGAATCCATTTTTGTTAAGATGATAAATTAGGGTATCCAGAACTATGTTCCAGAGAAGGGGTGACAAGACCCCTTCCTGTGGACATCCCCTCATGACCAGTCCTTTCACTGTGATGTCTTATACATTAATACTTATTGCTCTACTAGAGAGCATCTGGAGTATCCATTCTCCTACTACCAGGGGTACATTTCTGAGTGTAGTTGCTGGGTAATTGTTGGAAAGGTTGTTTTATCAAACGCTACCTCGATATCTATGAATATACCCAGGGTGGATTCTTTATTGTCCATTGATCTCTCGATTCTGCCAACCACATGGTGAAGGGCCGAATCAGTAGATCTTCCCGGAGTATATGCATGCCGATTTGGATGAAGTGGGTTGTGAACAAGTACTTCATCTCTTATGTACCGCTCACATAGCTCCTCCATGGTTTTTAAGAAAAACGATGTGAGACTAATTGGTCGGAATGCTTTTGGTAGGGTGTTGTCCATCCTACCTGGTTTGGGTATAAATACTACTCTAACTTCTCTCCACTTACTGGGAATATACCTCAGAGCTAGAGAGGCTCTGAATATTCCAACCAGGTATGGCATAAGAGTGTCCAGTCCCTACTGAAGTAGGGCTGGTCTTATACCGTCAGGCCCTGGTGACTTGAAGGGGGAAAAGCCCGATATAGCCCATCTTATTTTGTCCTCATCAATTACTGTACTAGCATATTGCCAGTCATATTGTGAGGGTGTTATTGGTACATCCGTCCAGTTCGCCGTTCCATGAAAGACAGAACCTGGGAAGTGAGTTTCCATAAGAATCTCAGCACTCTCCTGGAGGTTGGCGGCTTTGTCGCCATTTTCCCTCGTCAGGATGCCGATAGTCTTATGGTGGTCATTTGAGAGTGCCTTCTGTAGCCTAGAAGCTAGTGGAAAGTCTTCGACTGCCTTACAATAGGCTCTCCAGGCTTCTCTTTGCTTTCGTCTGCAGACTTCTTTGAACTCTCTGAGGTTGGCTTGATATATAACCCAGTCCTCTTCGAGTCTTGTATGTTTTGCCTTGTTAAAGGTCGTTCTCGCTGTCTTCCTGAGGTGTTCCAATTCAGGGCATCACCATGTGTTGGTTGTGCCATGCGTTTGAACCATCCTCATTGGACAGGATTCCTTATAGGCAGTGTCTATTTTGTTGTGGATAGATACTGTGTACCTTTCCAGTTCTTCATTGTTGCCAGGAGTCAGGACCTCTGTTTCCCGCAGAGCTCCTCTTAAGAGTCCATTGTAGAGAGCTACATCCGTCCTCTTCGGGTCCAAGACGAGCTAAATCCAACAAAAGTGTTTCGTGGAAGAAGCACAGCGAAGCAAATGGTCGCCTGTTTCTTTGGCCGATTGGGTCGTGTGGCCACTGTCCCGCTTGAGCAACGCAAAAAGGTTAATTCTGATAGGTAAACGACCATTGTCGGAAGTCTACGAGGAAATCCATAAAACTGTTGCGAAACGTGATTTCCACAGCGCCACTTCGTTGTAGAACCCACAATACATTTCTATGTGCTCTAGGCAGGGCTACGATTAGCAGCTCGAGAAGGGTTTTTCAAAGCGAGTTTTTTTAGTTCCACATAAAAACGGCAACGGCTATTTCGATCGTGGTTACTGCAAGGCCATTTAAAAGTCAGAAAAGATCGACACATTGATGAAACCGTTTTCGTGCTTTTGGTTGAATAAAACTCATAATATTATCCTTTTGATTTTTGGTTGGTGCCTGCACTATTTTAGGTAGGTAAGGATATAAAATTCAAGTGTAAATCTAAACGTGCACTATTTTAGTTTTGT